TGATGTCCCTCTTCCATCATGTGACCTTGTGCCTTCGTGGTGGACTTAAGTCGTGCCCGGTGTCCCGTGTGTTTGTTTTGTGTATACTCGGCCACGGCGGTGCATCGGTGCTCAATCGTTCTTTTGGATGTGGAATATTCTGTGAGAGTAGGGTTCCTCACCCCATCACTCGATGCCTACGTATTTTTATACCTCGACATGAACGATGATCGTGTCCTGTTATGGCCTCGTCCACTGCCAAGGCATCGGATTGAGGACCATACGGTGCCTGACGTCGCGAAGGAATGCTACCCTGTTGATCCTACCAGTAGTCATATGCTTGACTCAAATATTAAGCCATACATGTATAAGTATGAACTAATTCAGATTGTGAAACTGCGAATGGCTCATTAAATCAGTTATAGTTTGTTTGATGGTATTTGCTACTCGGATAACCGTAGTAATTATAAGGTTATGAGATAGAGGGTTTTCTTGACATGATATAACCAGAACCCTCAGGGGGTATCGATTCCCCTACAGGGGGTATCGATTCCCCTACAGGGGGTATCGATTCCCCTACAGGGGAATCGGTTCCTCTACATGAGGAATCGGTTCCTCTTCACGGGGGTATCGATTCCCTCTGCACTAAAAACTGCTAAAATTTGATTTGAAACACTCAAAATGCTAAATTAATTTTCTCTAGTGGTATTGGAAACTCATATTACAAAAATTTAACTATGTTCAATCCATCAAATCAATCATTTAAAAATTATTTGAACATATAATCAATTTTTCTTAAAGAATAATAAACTCCCCCTAACTAATAGCAAAGAATGCAATCAAAATTAATTATAAGCATTTTTCCTTTATTCTTAAAAGTTCTAAAATTATTTTAAACACTAAGTGAAGATAGTTCAGTTAAACCTAATTCTCTCCTAAGTGTCCAAAATCTTTCCTTGTCTAAAGGCTTTGTGAAGATATCCGCTAGTTGATGCAAAGTATCAACAAATTCTAGAACTATATCTTCCTTAGCGACATGGTCTCTAATAAAGTGATGTATTATTTCAATGTGCTTAGTTCTAGAGTGTTGGATGGGATTTTTAGTGAGACAAATAGCACTAGTATTGTCACACTTTATAGGAATGGTACCTACTTCAAATCCATAATCAAAAAGTTTTTGTTTCATCCATAAAACTTGTGCACAACAACTACCAGCTGAAATGTATTATGCTTCAGTGGTAGATAATGCAACACAATTTTGTTTCTTTGAAAACTAAGAAATCAACATATTTCCAAGGAATTTGAAAGTACCGGAGGTTCTTTTCTTATCTAATTTGCATCCTCCATAATCTGCATCAGAGAAGGCATGCAAGCTAAAGATAGAGTCTCTAGGATACCAAAGTCCTAAACTAGGAGTGTCCTTAAGGTATCTAAAGATTCTCTTAACAGCTAGTAAATGTGATTCCTTAGGGCATGATTGAAATCTAGCACATAAGCAAACATTAAACATAATGTCCGGTCTACTTGCAGTTAGATAGAGCAAAGAGCCAATCATTGACCTATATAATTTAACATCCACACATTTACCCGTTTCATCCAAGTCAAGTTTTGTAGAAGAGCTCATTAGAGTGTCATGAGGTTTCCCATTTTCTAGTCCAAACTTCTTGAGAATATCTTTGACGTATTTAGCTTGATTGATGAAGATGCCATCTTTTCTTTGCTTGATTTGGAGTCCCAAGAAAAATGAGAGCTCCCCCATCATGCTCATCTCGAATTCACTTTGCATTAGCTTAGAAAATTATTGGCAAAGAACATCATTAGTAGAACCAAATATTATATCATCAACATAAATTTAAACTACTAATAAATCTTTACCTTTATGCTTAAAAAACAATGTAGTGTCAACCTTCCCTTTTGTAAAACCTTTTTCAATTAAAAAGTTTGACAATCTTTCCTACCAAGCTCTTGGAGCTTGTTTTAAACCATAAAGTGCTTTTGTCAATATAAGAACATGATTTGGAAATTTTGAATCTTGAAAACCAGGAGGTTGTTCCACATACACTTCTTCTTTTATAAAACCATTCAAAAATGCACTTTTAACATCCATTTGATATAATTTAAATTCATGAAAACATGCAAATGCTAATAACATTCTAATTGCTTCCATTCTAGCTACGGGAGCGTATGTTTCATCATAGTCTATGCCCTCTTCTTGAGTATACCCTTGAGCCACAAGTCTAGCCTTGTTTCTCACTATATTACCACTTTCATCAAGCTTATTCCTAAATACGTATCTAGTACCTACGGTAGATTTATTACTAGGCCTTTCAACTAATGTCCAAACTTTACTTCTCTCAAATTGATTTAACTCTTCTTGTATTGCCATAATCCAATGTTCATCATTTAATTTTTCTTTAATATTCTTAGGCTCTATGCATGAGATAAATGCAACATAATTACAAATATTTCTAAGAGAAAATCGAGTTGTTACCTCTTTGGATGGATCACCTATAATCTCACC